AACATGATTTCCCTCTCCAAGGACCAGTCCCTCCTTGCAACATGCCCAAAGTATGTCAGACGAACCTTCAGAATCCTTGACTCCAAGGAGCATTCCGGCTTCACCCTCTCCAGGACAAACCTGTTTGTTCTCCTAGCAGTCCATGGTATATTCAACACTCTTCTCCAGCACCACAAAGGCATCAATTCTCTTTCTATCATGCCTATTAACTGTCCAACTCTCTGATGCATAACAACATGAGTAGAACTTAAAATAACAGAAGACGACCCTGGGTAACTGGGGTAATGGAGATAGGTATGTTGAAGACAGTGAGACTGGCTCAGGATAAGACAGGGTTTAGATCTATTGTACACAGTGTTGCAATGAGTCACAGGAGATTTGATGACACGTAACAACAATATCACTCTTTAAGTATAGTCTAGGTATTATTTCCTTGAAAGAGACCTCTCTAATCATGTCTCTGTGGATTTCATGGCTGTCCTTGGTATCTTACTACCAATACAAGACCTATCATATGAAGTTGAGGATTTGTAGTCTCTCTCCTTAAACTCTTAACTTCTTAAAGGCAGGGACAAAGAGGAGTCTTTGTTACCTCACAAAAGGAGTCCTCAAAAGATATTTGATGAATATGTAAATGAAGGAATGGGTGTTACATCGGATATACACAAGTAGCACCAGTATTTCCTAAGCTATATTCTATATTTCATGTATTTTTCCAGGTAAATGTTGAAGAAGATGACTTGGAAACAGAATTCTACAATGACTTAATTTCTTTTGGAAATGATGAAAATCGACAAGCTGTATTTTCAGGACATCAGAAGGACTCTTTATATGTACCAATTTTCTATTCTTCAAAGAAAATAAAAAGTGTCAACCATAAGTCTGCTTTCAAACAAGCCATTCAAGCTTCTCACAAAAAGGTAAGAAAATACACCCCCATGTTTATCGTGGTTTTGTTCACAATAGCAAAGAGTTGGAAACAACCTAAGTGCCCATCAATAAACGAATGGATAGAGAAGCTATAGTATATTCATTCACACAATGGAATACTACACAGATTTGAAAAACAAGGAACTCATGAAATAATATTCAAAATGGGTGACCCTGAAGGACATTATGCTGAGTGAAATATCTCAGTCATAAAAGGACAAATACTGCATAGGGTCACTATTGTATAATGGGACTGACATCAGGGTTGGGGGGAGACTGAGAAAAATGGGATAAATAATGTATACTGCATTAAAACATATGAGCATATGAGAGAGAAAACTGTTTAAAAGGGATATGTGATTAGATTTGATTATCGTGACAGGAGTCTAGAATGAAGGCTACATAGTGGAGTGGAACTGAGGGGAGGTATTGTAAAACAATGCAAGAATTTTTCTTTTACTTTTCAAAGACAAGAGTGAACTGGGGTGGAGGGATGGGCTGGGAGAAAAATACAACAATGAATGAATGGAAATTTTAAAAAAAAGGTAAGAAAAAGGATTCCTTATATTGATTATGAACTTGAATTCTAGCTGTGTGATGATATATTACATCAACAGAAATATTGGAGCAGTAGGATTTCTACCACAAATCTAAACAGCTTTAAATTTTTTGTTATCTTCCACTTAAAAAATCATAGTCATAACATATGTATGTACATTTGGTTGTGTTTATATTTGTTTTGCCTTTATTTTCACTTTTCTTTTTCTTGTGATTTCTTATAAACTACATATAAGAGGGTATATACATATATATATATATATATACTTAGCATAATCTGATTACCAAGTTTTTGCTAGAGAAACTCACCTAAAATACTATTTGCTATACTCATGAAAATAGATCATTTTAAGAAGCTCTGGTGGCTTAGTGGTAGTGAGTTAGGCTGCCAATCTGAAGGCACACAGTTCTAACCCCCAGCTGCTTTTCAGAAGAAATATGGCCAATTTCCTTCTGTGAAATTTTCTACCTCTGAAAACTCGCTGGAGGGTCATCTATTAGTTGCTTTTGACTCAACAATATACAACAACAACAATATTCTTTGCACATTATTTTTCTTACTGCTTCTACTTTTTTGCTATTTCTGTTTTTCTCATATCTGCTTTCTCACCTTTTTATTTAATCCACTTTGTCCTTTTCATAATTTTGAAAGTTCTTTTAAGTTGAGCTTGTGACTTTTTTTCCTCTAAGATGTGTGAGTGGCACTCAATGACTAACCAAAAGTTGACATATAATCCACCTAGCCATGACAGGGAAGACCTGGAAATCTAGTCTGTAAAGATTACATTGAAGAAAGTGGCATGAAACAGTTAGAAGCCTTTTGTTTTCCTTTTATTATTATTATTATTATATGCTTTTGTTATAATGTTCCATTAAGTCACCTGTGTATGTAAAACAGCTCTGAATCTAGCTCTATTCTCACTCAATCTCATTGTTGCCGAAACATCTACCCTCCTTACTCAAGTAACTGTCAATCTAATCTGAGATTTTCTTCTCCCTCCACCCTTCCATGCGTGATGTGTTTCTCTAAGAATTGGTCCTTCCTGGCCACATACCCAAAATATGTGAAACAGACCTTCAAAATCCTAGCCAAGGAGAAACTTGGTTTCACCCTTTCCAAACAAGACCTATTGTTTTCTTGGTGTCCCAGTGTGTGTTCAAGAATCTTCCCCAGTGTCACAACTCAAAGTCATTGATCTTTCTTCTATTATTTTTAGTCATTGTCCATCTCTCTGATGCATATAGCAAGTAGTTGCAAAGACCATGGCCTGAGTCAGATGCACCTTAGTCACTATACTGACACTGTTGCTCTTTAGCACTTTAGAAAGGTCTCTAACAGCAGATTTTCATAATGCACTTCATCTTTTGATTTCCTGATTGCTATTGCCAAGAGTGTTGATTATGGAGTCAAGCAAGTTGTAATTGTTCCCAACCTCAATCACTTCTCCATCTATCATGATGCTGCCAAGAAGCTCAGGAGTGAGAATCTTTGTCTTCTTTTTTTTTAATTATTAAATTTTATTAATTTTAATGAACATTTACAGAGATTTTGGGTTTTCATTCATTCATTGTTGCACTATTCTCTCTACCCCCCCCCCTTGAATGTCTGTTTTAATTGTCCAATTGCCACAGTGCTTGTCAAAGCCAGTTCTGATTAATCTCCTTTGTCAGAGTGTCCTTTGCCATTCCCTATCACTCCTCCCTGAGAGAGACTTCCCTCTGATTCATAAGGAAAAGGGGATGGCGTATTCTCTTGGCTACTTCCTGAATCTTTGTCTTTTGATGATGAATTTCAATCCATATTGAAGACTACAGTCCTTGACCTTCTGTAGGAAATGCTTCAGGTCCTTCTTACTTTCAGCCAGCAAGGTTGTTGCATAACACAGGTTGTTGATGAGTCCTCTTCCAATCCTGATGCTACATTCCTCCTCATAAACTCCAGACTCTCAAATGATCTGTTCTGCATACAGATTGAAAAGGTATGGAGACAGGATGCATCTCTGACAAACATTCCTTCCAGATTTTAAACTATAGTTTAAAAAACTAGTTTCGTTGTTTAGGTTTTATATGAGCATAATCAAGTGTTCTGATATTCTTCTCAAGGTTAGCCACAGTTTGTTGTGATCTACACAGTGAAATGCTTTTACCTAGTCAATGAAACACAGATAGACATTCCTCTGGTATCTCTGCTTTCAGGCAAGATCCATCTGACATTAGTCATGATATCCTTGGTTCTACGATCTCTTCTAATCCCAGCTTGTATTTCTGGTACTTTTCTCAAAATATTCAACAAAATTTTGTTTGTATGTGATATTAGTGATGTTGTTTGATAATTTCCATACTGTTGGATCATCTTACTTTGGAAGGGGAATAAATATAGATCGATTCCAGTCCTTTGGCCAGATGGTTGTCCTCCAGATTTCTTGACACAACACGGTGAACAAATCCAGGGCAGTGTCCGCTGAAATATGCTAATTGGTATTCCATCAATCCTTGGACCCTTGGTTCTTCCTCTTTCATCACCATTGCCTCTTGATCATATGTTATTTCATGAAATTCTTCTGTATTAGCCTTTTTTTAATGTACAGTGACTATATTCCTTCCATCTTGTTTTATACTTCCTACAGTGACTATATTCCTTCCATCTTGTTTTATTCTTCCTAAATCATTCAATGTTCTACCCATAATATCCTCAAGTATTGCAACCAAAAGCTTGATTTTGTTTTTCAGTTCCTTCAGCTTAAGAAATGCCAAACAAGATCGGGGCCCTTTTGAGTATATCATATAAAATTATATCAATAGTCCAGATGCAGGGAAAGGGTCCTTTACTCATCTATTCCCCACATCCTATCCCCAACACCTTCCTGAAGACCTGTTTGCTTTTTTATCTGCCACCACCACCCCTATCACTATAGAATTTTCAAATTCTCAGTTTTATTGAGATAGTTAAAAATTTATGAGTTCTAAGGGTACTTTTTTATTAGGTTTTATATTGTGAGGCAAAATCAATGCAACAGCACCTAAAAACAATATGTTAATTTACAGTTTCATTCTGATTCTTGACTTCAGTTAATCGTTTACCACAGGATATTTGCAAATTCCAAGTCTACATTGCATTGCATATACATGTAAATCGAAAACAAAACAAATCCGTTTTGGTTGATAGTGACCCCATGTGAGCAGATTAGAAAAATTCCACTGGATTTTCATCTTGTAAACTTTTGAAAGTGATGTGCCAGGCCTTTTTTCCAAAGCACCTCTGAGTGAATTAGAACTTCCAAAATTTAAATTAGTAAGTGAGCACTCCATCATTTGCACAAGCCATGGATTCATTTATATGCTGTGGTGTTGTTAGGTGCTATCAAGTCCAGTATGACCCATAGTGACCTTACAGACAATAGATCTGAATCCTGTCTTATTCATCCAAGTGTGTCCTCCTCACACTTTCTGAAACATTAGAGCCCATTGAAGCAGCTACTGTGTCAGTCCATCTGATTATGGGTCTTCCTCTTCTTTGCTGACCCTCTGCCTTTACAAGCATCATGTGCATTTCCAAGGAAGAGCCTCTCCTAACAACATGCCCAAAGTATGTGAGGCAAAGCTTTATCATCTTTGCCTCCTAAGAGCATTGTCAGTATACTTTCTCCAAGACATATTTGTTTGTTCTTTTGGAAGTCCATGGGATGTTCAGTGCTCTTCTTCATCAACACAACTTGAAGACATTAATTTTTTTGCCATCCTTATTGTCCAGCTCTCAGATGGATAGTAAGTGATCCAAAAGACCATGACCTGAATTAGATAAACCTTAGTTCTCAAATTGGCACCATTACTCCTCAGTAATTTGGAAAGGTCCCTAACCGCAGACTTTCCCAGTAAAATATACCTCCTGATTTCCTGACTGCTGGTACCAACAGGATTGATTATGGCTTTAAGTAAGATGAAGTCATTGACAGTTTAAATATTTCTCCATCTAACATATTGTTGCCTAACAGTCCATTGTTAAAAATTTGTGTTTTCTTAACATTGAGATGTAATCCATATTGAAGGTTGTATTCTTTGATCTTCTGCAACAAGTTCTTCGTGTCCTCCTCACTTTCATCAATCAAGGATATGACATCTGCATAACACAGGTTATAAATGAGTCTTTCTCCAATCCTGATACCACATTCTTCTTCATAGAGTCCAGTTTGTTGAATAATTTGCTTAGCATACAGATTGAATATGCATAGATAAAGAGTACAACCCTAACTGACTCCCTTCTTAATTTTAAACTGTGCAGTGTTCCCTTGCTATGTTTGCACAACAGCCTCTTAGTCTAAATATAAGTTTCACATGAACATGATTAAAAGTTCTGGAATTTCTGTTCTTTTCAATAATGCCCATAGCATCTTCAATATTGTGATTCAAGGCTTAAATTTGTTTTCAATTCTCT